CACTTCCAAATTTAATGCTGCACCAGAAGGGTGAAGCTGGAGGCCACGCTTGGCACCAGCATCTGCATCTCTATTGCCTAGGCGCAGAAATCTTTCACGTGCGGGGATACCTTCCTCGTCCACGTCTCGGTGAGCCTTGACCTTGACGATGGACTGAGTTTTATCTCCTTCCACATTATTCGCATTTTAACTCATACTTGAATACGAGCGCTTGCCCGAGTAGCGCCCAGGAATGGGCAGCAGCGAGTGGTGCGCAACATTAGCGCAATCAGTGTAGAGGACCGAGGGGTAGCAAACAAACTGAGCAACAACACATCTGGCAGAGTACTCAGCAGCTTGTGGTGTTTAGGGGAAGTGGGCCCAAACTGGGCCTCTGACCTCTCCAAGGCACTTCCCGTCATCCGAATTCATAGAAATGCACCAGGCAGCGCGGGAAAGTTCTCGCACAACGTGGCGCTGGCAGGACCCATCGAGGAAGAGGTGGCCCCACATCCTACCGTTAGCGGGGACCACAGGACCATCGGGGTTTTCGAGCTCATCCACATGCCAAGCGTAATGCAGGGCATTGGTGCCTTCCAGGGCAGGACGCGGCAAGACATCGGCGGGGTCAGCGAAAGCTCCTCGAGTATACAATGCGACCACGTGGCTGTCGGCCTCAGCAGCCCAGACACGAGCGGAATCAGCAACTACCGAGGCGGGGACCAGCTGGGCACGCAGCTGCTCCAAGCATGCTGTCGGGAGCTCCTGGCTTCCATCTATGGCGACTCCATCCTGCCGTCTGGAATCCCCACGGGAATCCAATGAGACGGTAAGCGCGCCACCCTGGCCCTCCTGGTTAATCACCTGCATCGGCAGACCTCCCATGCCCCCGCCACCTCCCATGCCCCCGCCAGCTCGCGCAAGGTGCCCGACGAATGGGATGCATACCGCAGCAAGCAGGGCCCCAGAGCGCCCGGAAAGGGACGAGACCCGGCACGGTACAGCCGGGAAGTCTTGCTCGGTTACCTGGAGTCGAGGGGGATCACGTCGCTACTCACCGAGCGCGTTCTCCTATTCGCACAGCGCCTACTCGCAAACGTCCGAACACAGATGTCTGCATCGATGTAATTTATCGTGAATCTCCCATGGTGGATCCATGCCATTTGCGAGTAGTGACTTCGCGAGTAGCGGAACGCTCCTGTCTAGCTACAGCACCCGCGCGCGCGGGACTTCCGTGCAACCACTGGAAAGAAGAGGCCCACCCGCACGGAAGCCCCCACCAGCGTTCCCCCACGGGCAGTTGCTGGCAGCCCTTCAGATCCAGTGCCCAAGGAAGAGTCGGCGGCCCAGCGCCCCAGCGGCAGCTCCCCGCACGCGGAGCAACCCAGACTGCTGCCCCCCCCCAGCGCCGCCGAGACCAGACGCGGAGCGGCGTGCCCCCAGCCAGTCCCCCACCTCCTTTGGGCGTGGAATTGTACCAGTCCGCGCCAGCGGCAAGGATGGGCGCACTGACTCGTCTGATGCCTCCCCCGAGGTTCGGCGGGACAGGGCAGGGAGGGGCTCCAGCTCCCGCTCTGCCTCATGCGTTTGCGACTGGAGTGGAGAGGCCCCCCGGGCAGTCCTGCGCGCGGGCGTTCTGGGAGGAGGCGCAGCCCCAACAATTCCCCTCAGCCAGCGGTCGGCGGGCCCCCCATCCACCAGCCCCGTTCGGGCTGAGGCCCCACCAGCAGCGCAGCCCCATTCCAGCGCCTCGCCGACCGCAGAGGCGTAGCCGGTGCGCCAAACCCCAGGGCCAGCGAACAGCGCTGCCCAGGCGCACCCCGAAGGTGGCGCGAGCGAGGCTCCACGGAGACCACCCCGCCCGGGAGCCGGGAGCCGGCGCCGCGCCACGCGCCCCCCTTCGCACTGCCCGCGCTGCAGTCGGACAACAATGACGGGCTCTGAAACAAGCCAAGACACCGGGCGACCCGGCGCCCTACCCGGGACCACCGAGACAGCGCAAGGGAGGATCGGAGAGCGGTGATCCACCGCCTCAAGCAATAATGTGGCCCCATGCTCATCATCGGGTGGGGCGCCACCTGCGACCGGGAGTCTGGGCCCCACTACGCCGAAGAACCACGGCGGCGCAACCCTGAATTCTGCCTAGGTTTCGTACATGACCTTTGCGAGGTCAACCATGATGCGCGCTGACTTTGCTGGAAGAAAGGCGCGCAAGTCGATTGGATTGCCGAGTGGCATCGCGAAATTGACGGGCGGAGGCAAAGCTCTGAGCTCGCGAAAAGCAAAGGGAAAGGTGCTCCGCCGCACGGGAAGGCGAAGCGGTCAGCGGACTCCTGTTGGCCTAGCAACGACCCTTCCCGCCGGCGCGGGTCAGCTTCCAGCAGCCACCGCTGGTAGCGTTCAGCCAACCGCCCCATAACCTCGCCCTGTACTGAGCGTGACACCCCCGCCCTGGCAGTGGCTATGGCCGTTGCCCCCCCCCCTCTTTGCATTCGGGGCTTTCTCGCGTCGCGCACCTATT